TTTCCGACCAAACCATCAGAAATCATCTGAGAGAAGGGGGATTTCGAGCATATCGACCATAAGGTGGGCCTGGCCTGATACGATTACTCTGACAGCGACGTGTCAATGGTGCAACAAGGTACAGGAACCTGGGGAACTGGCGAAGCCAATCGAGCATCTGTGGGACGAACTTGATCGACGCGTCCGTAAACGTCACCATCGTCCTCAGACACTTGCAGAACTTGGGATGCGTTGCGGTAGGAATGGCGAAGAATTCACCAAGCAAAGATCCGACGACTTGTGCAATCCCTTCCAAGGCGGTGTCGAGCAGATTCATGGGGTTGTGTCACCAGGTACTGACCTGACACACACACACACACACACACACACACACACACACACTCTCTCTCTCTCTCTCACACACACACACACACACACACACACACACTCTCTCTCTCTCTCTCTCTCTCACACACACACACACACACACACACACTTGTCTCCACACATGTGCAGTGAGTGAACTGGATTAATGCTGACAATGGCAAAAATACATATGTTGATCCTGTTGTCAAATTTCCTTCATCTATGTTCAAGCTTAATCGACTTATGTACTTAAATACGTGTAATAATTTCCTTATTTCGGCCTATGAGTTTCTTTTTGGCCATGATCACTATGCTATTATTTTTTGGTGTTCTTGAAAATGACTATGGCATCTAAATCATGATAAACAGCGACGACACTTACAAGAATATGTTTCAATGAGACAATATTCTGGTGAAATGTTTTGCTTACATTTTCGTCCAACAATGCCGACCTAATGGCAACACAAGCTTAACACCTGTGATGTCCAGCTGATTTGATGGTAAACACGTCTTTATCTCTAAATAGATTCATGAAACAAACTTAAAATATGCTGTTTTCATAAGACCATTAGTGTCAAAGTCATTTCAGTTTTATGTTGAACCTCTCGCGCATACTGTTGGATCTGCTCGTGACTATGTCAGATACGTACAGACAAGTCCCACGCAGTTATCCAGTGATGTGGGTTACTATCGGGGACACTGTGTCCATGACCAAGAGATGACATTACAACAACATTAAAACTCTTAACGTGGCATAGACGTCCATAGTGCCTGTTCTACTACTGATAAATGTCTTTACCAACCAGGGCCTTGATTTTCGAAGCTCTCTTAGCGCTAAGATAGTCGTAAGTTAATGTTAATGTATGGCACTTACGACTATCTTAGCGCTAAGAGAGCTTCGAAAATCTAGGCCCTGATGATTAAATTTTGAACCAAAAATTTTTTTTACGAAAAGCAAATCCTTAAAATATTCCTAGGATAATCATCTACAAATCGTTCTTAACTTTCCGTTTTTCTAGACAATGTTAATATTTTTAAAAATGATTGACAATCCCTTTTTAAATACTGACTTTAGATATTATATTGGTAAAGTATTGCAAATATAGTAACATCGACAGAAAAATAATAATATGTACTATTCTTTAATGAATAATATTCCTCTGCTACCATAGGCAAACATTTTTTTTACAAGTTCCTCTACAGTAGAAACAAAACTGTCAACAAGATACATCCTTGTCAAACCCCTGTGTGAGTATGAAAATATTCGTCAGATGGAAGAGTTATATCTTACTGGGACAACCGCATTACAGTATACACTATATATACGGTGATGAATCTTACCGTAAATTCATGTCTGTAGGAGTGCAAATCTTGGATCTGGAGCAGAATCATTTTCTCTGAATAGATATTTATTCATTAAAAACTTCTATTAACCATGACTTACTGAGACTAGTGAGAGTTGCCGTGACAAGAGTAATTGGTGTCGATATATTAGTAATGTTATTCCTCTGTAGTTAGGAACATAATTCTTAGCTTTATCCTTACACCCTGAAAATATATAATTTTCATAGAACCAAAAAACTCCAATTGCAAGGGAGTCACATTGAGCTTGGAGAATGAGGAAATCTATACTCGCTTCAGTCGGTGTTTTGGCATGGCAGAAAGGGTTGGGTGGAAGGCGACTTCTTGTGGTTCAGGGACTGAGTAACAAGATATTTTCGTATCAAAGCGAAATGGCAAATAAATATTACATTCGAAAGCAATAAATTCTCTTAAATGTCATTCGTCCAAACGAAACCGTCATTATAATTTCAGACATTGACATGAAGAAGAGGAAAAGTTGTTGAACAAACGATCATGTAAATGTTGGAGTTTTGATGACTTTTAATGAAAGGTGAGCGACTGATTCTTTTGTACCACTGCTCGCCATGCTTTAAGGAATGCGTGAACTAAAATTACGACAAAATTCCAGAAATTTTGTTCATGCAGTTAACCATTTGATCTTTCGATAGTCATTAAACTTATCACTTCCTAACTTGTATCACCTAATGGACTGTAAAATGTAGAATCGTATTACGCCCAGCCGTATAATCTGGCGCATAAAGAAAGTCGTAAGCATTTTCATAAGGGTGTTCAGTGGTATTAGTGACACAAATATAATCTCTGTGCAGTCAGGGATTTGGGTAACATGTGATACAGTTTTGAGTGATGTACATAGCAATATCAATACTGTTTCTGCAAACATTGTACATCCTGCCTCTCATACACTTGAATGTCGTGTGTACAGTTTCTGAGTCAGTAAAGTATAAAGTATGGACTATACTTTCATCAAACAGATCTTATCAAACGCATTGTTTAAGTCTGCCACATGGTTGATTAAGCTTACACCTCGTGTTTCGCTGTGGAAATAAACAATGGTGCAGAGCTATACAATGTACTGAAAACCTAATCAACTCAAATTTTGAAACTTACCTTTGGCCTAAACAAGGAACTAAACGTGACAACTATTGTTAGTGAGAAAACTATGGATGATTTACAAGGAACTAAACGTGATTCTCTTAAAGTGACGCAACAATCTAACGCCACAACAGCCAAATGAACCTTCCAGTCTAATATCTAAAAACGAATGGGCCAAATGGCACGAACGAATAGAACGAATAAGCACGAATGGGCCTGTGTATATTTGACCACCGTCTTATATATGTAAACCTACTTCGCATTTCACGTGCACTCATCACCGGGTGTATTCAGGCGATGCGGCCAGTATGCACTGGGTGCGTTTGGGTAAACAGTTAAATGAAAAACCAAAATGTCTTCAGAACACCTCACATTGCCGATAATCAAGGCATCTCTCATGAGAGAACATTCTCAGGAACCAACTGGGCATGACAAAGGTTTCGGGAATCTTGACTTGAATTTTTGAAGCAGGTAGCTCATAAATGAGACAGAGGCAGACACTATATACTATATCAATGTTTTCAAGAACAATAACATGGCTTCGTTGAGCAACTCAGCCAAAGACTAAACAACAGTCAAAGCAGTCATAAAAACAGTAACATCTAACGTCTCCTCCAAAAAGCCAGACTCCATCAGGTGGACAGGTTTTCTGTTATTCAGAGGAATCCTACTTGTGGAGGATGTCCTGAAAGGTCTGACCATTAATAGTCAATGTTACACTAACCAGCTGGAACATCCAGGCTACACACTGAAGGTGTGTTGTTCTACCACGACCATGCACCTGTGTCTGTTGTTGCCATGATTATTCACCAGATTTGATACTCAGATTTCCAACTTGAAGAGAGAACTAAGTAGCAAGCATTATGCAAATATTGATGGCATAATTTCCTGTGTTCAGAACTTTGTTCACCATCGGGAGGGAGCTTTCCATTGCTTTACAGGCACTTGAACAAGTTGGCATGCAAGTGAACACTTCAAAAGGAATTATGTTGAAAATAACTTGCCACCAACTACATTAACACAGTCCATCATTGTTAGACTTCCGACCCTCTGTGTGTGTGCCACATGTCTGTCACAGGGGCAGATACAGCTTTTTTTAAAGGGGTGGGTGGGGGTGGGGTGTTTGCACACTATTGAGAAGGGGTGTGTGTGTTCACACTTCAGTTTCACGTGAGTTTCAATGGTCATTTAATAAACTTTCATGACAAAAGGGGGAGTGCACGCACCCACCCCCACCCCGTCTATGTGTCATGTTATTGCTTGAGCGAAAGTACAACAGCTTACCGGCATAGTAAGTTATGAAAAGCAGACTGACCTCAAAGCCATTAAGGTTTTCCTCTTACTGAAGTAAGGTTTAGTCTGCAATGAGTGTGTTTAGCATGTGACATATTTGAGGTCCATGGTATGGTGGTAGTTGTTAATTAAATATTTAGGCACATATTTAGTAAGTTCAGGTTGTGTTCTTCTCAAGGAGGGCAACTCCTATTTTATCCCGTAATCCTTTAATACTATCTTACAACATGAGATACCTGTTGACAAATCAAGCTTGGTGGATAGAGCAGTAATTAGTCTCCTCCTCAACAAATGTGCACATCTTGATGGAAAGACCAATTCATCTTTTGTTTTGCTTGTTTGTTAATTAACACTGCACTCACCAATATTCCAACTATTTGTGAGTGAGTGTGTCTGGTTGAACAGATATTCAGTGATATGAACAGTGTGTCAGATGCATTTTTGAGTGGAGGTTTTACAGGTTTTAGTTGCTTAAGGATACAGATACTTTATGAGAGTGTGACACACGAAGTATTTGTTACACAGTAACAGATGATCTGACCCACTGTGAGTGAGTGAGTGAGTGAGTTTAGTTTCACGTCGGATTCCACAATATTCCAGCTATATGGCGGCGGCGGTCTGTAAAATAATCAGGTTTGGACCAGACAATCCAGTGATCAACAGCATGAGCATTGATCTATGCAATTGGGATACGATGTGTCAACCAAGTCAGCAAGCCTGACCACACGATCCTGTTACGACAAGCATGGGTTGCTGAAGACCAATTCTAACCGGGGTCTTCACGGGTCTCTGACTCACTGTGAAAACTCTATAACAACAGAGCATCTGTCTGATTAAATCACAAAGACACTGATACATGTCCTATAAGAAAGTCACTAAATGGCAGACTCAGCAGAACAAGGGAAGAGGGTGTAGTCAGTTTTATTCCTAGTTTTAACATTGACATACAGTTCACTGATGCAGACACAACAGTTTCAATAAAATACCACAAAAGCTTTTAGTTAAATAAAATTAAAATGACATGAACATACAAAATGGAATACAATGTACTTGGAAATCATTTGAATTTTGTTGAAACATCTTTTCTTTCACACTGGTTTCTTGGAAGTTTCATATATTCTTGTTAAACTCACGATATGCAGAAAATGTTGAAATGTTAAACAGCCAGGTTTGAGTCAGTCCATTTCTTCATTATCCTAATGATTTTAGAATTCTGATTGCTCTGGAGACAATCTGTCATAGCAGAATAACACGTACAGTTTCACAAAATACATGGTAACATGGACTGTTCAGTTAAGGACAGAAGCAGATAAGTTGAAGCTCTGCATACAGACTCAGATGACACCTGGATTATCTGAAAATAGAAGTAAAACACGATAAAACCTTTATCCCATGCAAAAATTCTTCAGATTTGTACCAATAGTGAGAAAGGTTCTTTTCAGCTCTAAGAATCAATATTAGGAATAAGTTAGTGAGTGAGTTTAGTTTTATGCCACACTCAGCAATATTCCAGCTATATGGTGGCGGTCTGTAAATAAACGAAGTCTGGACCAGACAATCCAGTGATCAACAACAAGAGCATTGATCTACTCAATTGGGATACGAAGACATGCATCAACCAAGTCAGCAAACTGACCACCCGATCCTGTTAGTCCCCTCCGACGACAAGGATGGGTTACTGAAGACCAATATTCTAACCCGGACCTTCACGGGTCTATTAGGAATAGAAATGTTCCATGAATTTCTGAACCATGGAAACAAGTTGATGATGACCTTCATCTGAGACATTAGATACTGTACAAGAGGATTACACTGGACCTATAACCTGTTAGAATGACCATTTACTCTCCGTATCAATTAATAACATATTATTAAATCATTAAAGAATAACTTGCCAATGCTATGCAACCTGTTATAAAGAATTTTATTTGTGACACCTTCATCAGGTAAACACATTGAATTCTCTGGTCTCTTATAAGGATGGAATCCAAAGAGCCGCTAGTATATGTGCCTATTGTGACAATGTGTCCTACTGAGCTATAGGCTGGCCCACCTGTTTCTGTGCAACTGCTGGGCAGTAGAGGGACTCTAGTCCTCTGTCCACTCAAAGGGCTCTGGGGGTTCTGGCTCTTCCTCCTCCTCAATCTTAGGTCCTCCAGCTGCAAGCATTCACATGGAGGTCAGCACAACAATATATTACATGTAAGTGTCCTACATCACTTGATCTCAACACTAGAAAGCACTGAGCTTCTAAACTGAAGCACTAGATGTCTAGAAAAGAATATATCCTCAGGCACCAAACAAACATGTCCATGTTTTCTGTCACTATATCTACATTAAGAGTCAGGGGAGATAACTGCATAACTCTTCAGGCATACCCCTAAGGATAGCTATGACTTAGTTTTAAATTTTATTCACTTTCATTTTCTGTATGACCTGTGGTACCCACAGGAAACTGGCAACCATAATTCAGAAGGAATGTTTATGACATAATTGAATATATCCTCAGGCGCCAAATTAACATGTCCAACTTCTAAAAATAATGTTTAATAACAGTGATGTCCAACTTCTAAAAATAATGTATGTGCCAAATGTCTTACCTGCTACTGTTTCCACAATCTCTTCATCTTCTCCGGGTTTGGTATTCTTCATCATAACGATGCCTCCGATTGTCAGCTGGAACATCAAATACCACACAGTTACAGAGATGTAGACTGGCACTAAGACAGCTTCAAAAATAACATCAAATACCACACAGTTACAGGGATGTAGACTGGCACTAAGACAGCTTCAATAATAACATCAAATACCACACAGTTACAGAGATGTAGATTGGCACTAAGACAGCTTCAATAATAACATCAAATACCACAGTTACAGAGATGTAGACTGGCACTAAGACAGCTTCAATAATAACATCAAATACCAACAGTTACAGAGATGTAGACTGGCACTAAGACAGCTTCAATAATAACATCAAATACCACACAGTTACAGAGATGTAGATTGGCACTAAGTCAGCTTCAATCATAATATTGTTTAATGACACATTCTGCAATTTATTCTATAATGTCTCATCAAAAGGTTAACCAAGCCAGAACTATCAGGAACTAAAATTTGTCTGTACAAAACATGTTGGATTTTTTTATTTCATTTTGCATAGTATTCCAAAATGATTAGATACCAGACTTGTTATGTGTGAAAGCTTATAAACAGCCATGGATACACATATGGGCACTAGATCATACATTGAGTGGTTCACTTCAAGTTCACATTACAATGCTGTTTCTAAACAAGCAATATGTTTCAAAATATCCATTTAGTAAATATTTACATGATATGACATGAATGATGATACGAGATTAGAACTGTCATGTGTTTCAGAACTGGAAAATGCCAAGAGAATACAATTTTTGTTCCTGATATATGGTATTCATGACACAGAGACAGACTCACGAAATAAAATATTCCAAGTATTTCAGGGTGGTAAATAACTGAGTTGACAAGACAGTTACTGAAACCATGCAAAAAGATCCAAACTATGTAGACACAGAATCAGCATAGGCTGACTACCCAATCCTCTTTTCCACACTCGGATAATCATCAGATTCTTGGGACCTATTCTTCCGCAAACACACAGGATTATCTGTAGGATATCAGAAACTTGCACAAAAGGAGACAGCCTCAGACTCATTGGGATGTGTGTTGGCTGTAGTTTGCCAAGATCAGCCAGGATTCAGTATCAACTATATCTTACAACAGCCCAACACCCTATACTGAACTCACATCTTTCACTGGTGTGTAACGGACTTCCTCTCCCATTGACAGCACCTTCAGCTGCAAAACAAAACAGACAAATTTTCAGTATGGTTAGGGTTGATGTAACTATTGTAACTATCTCATCACCAGTTGGCAGTGAGTTTTGATTTGTATACTGCTAGAAGACACTACAGATATTCAAACAGACATATAAAACATGAATGTTTCAGGAAGTAGTCTGTGGGAGATCTTTCTAAATTGCCCAAAACAGTGGAGAAATCAAAAACCACTCTCAAACAAGTAATGACAACAAATTCATGAAGATGCAGCAATTGAAATTACATTAATTTTATAAACACAATTAAAAGTAATCTTCTAAACAAGAACATTCACATATATATTCGTCTGAAACTTGGCTTTATTAAAGTCCGATGAAATACTTGTTATACTTGGTGACATGACAGATGACCTACCTGGGACTTCATGACACGGGCAGGATTGGCCATCATCTCAAATGTAGGCTCAGGTTCCTTCTCCTTCTTCTCCTTTTCCTCTTTTTCTTTTTCTTCTTCCTTCTTCTCTTCCTTCTTATCATCTTTCTTGTCAGATTCCTTCTTCTTTGCTTCTGGCTTCTCTTCCTTCATTTCCACATCTTTCTCCTTGCCTTCATCTTTCTTTTCTTCATCCTGCATAGGAGGTGGAGTTAAATGAAAAAAATCACATCAAACAAACTCAAGAACATGGGGACTGAAACGAATTACAGAATGTCTCTCAAAGCAAATTCAATTGGATGTCACAATATTAAAACACTCTAGTCTGGGCACACTAAGGAATTTGCACATTGTGGAGAATTACACCTGAAAATTGAGAAGCGTAAGACTACTGGGCTCACAATGATACATATTTTAGAATACTTGCATATGTAAATATTCTAAATTTATGCCAAAGGTTACCATCTTTATATTACAAGAGTTATACTTCAAGTGACAGAATGTTCAAGTATTAAATGGTAAGGTTTGTGCAAGGTCAGAATCATATCCAAATGGACAAAGACTTACGACTTCCATCTTTTCATCCTTCTGTTTCTCTGCATCCTTCTTCTTCTGCTTGGCTGTGATGCTGAGAACTGCAGTCTCCACCTTCTCCTTGGTCTTGGTGCTCTTCTCCTCTAGGGGAGGAGGGTAGGCAAAAGTCGATGGCTTGGCATTAGATTTGAACTCAATCTTCGGCATCTACAACAAGCACAGTATACCAACTTGAACGTAGGCATGTCACCACCTGACATCTACACATACAATGAAGTATTTCATTCTTCACCAAGTTAATGTCCCAGTCATGCTACCAGTTTCCAGCATTGCACACAAGATGCTGATGGCCCTTGTCAATTTATACCAACAAATGTGTTAATAACAAACAACATATCAAAATAAGCCATATTTTTCATCAAGAAAGATACATGAATTTATAGGGCTGTGTGGATAGCCTAGTTGTTGAAGTGTTTGCTTGTCACATTGAACACCTAGCTTCAAGTCCCAATGTATGAAGCCCATTTCTGGAATATTGTGAAAATGCAGCATAAACCCCAGCTTACTCATTCCATGAGCTATCCTGAAAGACCCATACCATTGCATTTGGAGTATATTTTTATGCAAAAGGAACTTTGGTAACTGCCAACTGTAGTTTGTTCGATCCTTATTCAACATCTCCATACATAGACCTTTCTTTGTGTCTTTCTCAGAACTAATTGAGATGCTCACATAGGACAAATATGATTCTATCCATTAGAACCACTAGGATAACGACTTACCTTGAGGTCTGAGTTGAGTCCGACCACACAGTTTGGTGTGAAGGAGAGTGACAGGAAGTGAGTGAGAGGATACCAGAACCAGTACTGGCAGAACACCAGCAGACCAACCACGGCCTCCATGTTGGTGTGTCCTGTACGGGACTGTAGAGACACAGTGGCATTGCGGCCTCCTGAAACACACACACTTCACACAGTCAGGACACATTCACTGGAAGTCTTAGAGGCACCTATCAGTCCCAGCTTTAATAGAAAGACTACACCAAGTTATTCAATACCACAGTGTTCCCAATGTTAATTAACATCACAATTCTATTGACCCCACCACTGAGATAAGAAGATAGACATATCGGTACATCTTGTAGTTAAATATCTTAATACTCCTGTAAAGGGAATAATACTTTATCACAGGACCCTTGGATTCATATGTTTATCTGTACTGAGAGGTGCATCTTCCCCAATGGTAAAACTCCAAGACTTGTATAACTTTGGGCTTTCTTCCCATAGAAGCTGGCATGCCATGATATAACTTGGTCACTGTACAAAATGGCACCAAACCAGTCTCGCTTACTCATCACTCTCCAGAAGGTTTCTGAGCCAAATGAAGCACCAGATAATCAGATCATCACCAGCACTGTTTAAAGGGAGAATACTCTTTCTCACTTAACTGTCGCAGATTGCAGATTTTATAGGTGATTCAACTACACAAATTCCTTGCGTTTATCTGTTCCGACTGTTGGATATTGCAGTACTACAGTCACACACTGTTGATGTGTTGGTCTAAGGTTTGTCTGTAAGTAAAGGCTTGGTCTCTGTTCTGCAGTACTACAGTCACACACTGTTGATGTGTTGGACTAAGGTTTGTCTTTAAGTAAAGGCTTGGTCTCTGTTCTGCAGTACTACAGTCACACACTGTTGATGTGTTGGTCTAAGGTTTGTCTTTAAGGTTTGTCTGTTAAGTAAAAGGCTTGGTCTCTGTTCTGCAGTACTACAGTCACACACTGTTGATGTGTTGGACTAAGGTTTGTCTTTAAGTAAAGGCTTGGTCTCTGTTCTGCAGTACTACAGTCACACACTGTTGATGTGTTGGTCTAAGGTTTGTCTGTAAGTAAAGGCTTGGTCTCTGTTCTGCAGTACTACAGTCACACACTGTTGATGTGTTGGACTAAGGTTTGTCTTTAAGTAAAGGCTTGGTCTCTGTTCTGCAGTACTACAGTCACACACTGTTGATGTGTTGGACTAAGGTTTGTCTGTAAGTAAAGGCTTGGTCTCTGTTCTGCAGTACTACAGTCACACACTGTTGATGTGTTGGTCTAAGGTTTGTCTGTAAGTAAAGGCTTGGTCTCTGTTCTGCAGTACTACAGTCACACACTGTTGATGTGTTGGACTAAGGTTTGTCTTTAAGTAAAGGCTTGGTCTCTGTTCTGCCTCTTGTCATCATTTCATTTTTAGTTTGTATCAAACCTTCAATATTTACAGGGTTTTACCTCGATGAGGGTTTAAGGGTCCCTGCGGACAATATGAGGGTCCTGTAAAGTAACAGTGTAGAGAACTGATGAAGAAAAGATGCATGAAACTGCTCTGAAAGAAACAACCAAACATTTAGCAAAGTCACAGATGTGTTGTGGGTACAATACATAGTGTGCATCGCTGTAGATACAGTCCATTCTCTACATTTGTGCGTACTGGACATACATTTGCAGTATGATTTACAAAGGTCCATTCAACTTGTGACACAATGGTGTTTTGCTGGTTCTTGCACTGTTATAATTTACTGTCTAGAACTGGTTTACAAATCTAAACAATCTCATCACCCTGCTGCTGATCAGGAACGTGACACTAAACTCAAGAACATTAGGGAAATGAAACTAATTAAGTAATCAATATGAATATAAGAACATGGGTTCATTCCCAGGATTTTACCAATATACCACTATGGCTTATCTGCCACAGACTGTCTGTCAAAGGAGTACCATTCCACAATAACAAGGCACTATCTTGTCTTGTAACTTGAAAACGTCAGTGATAAATGGTGATGTCAGATGGCACAAAACTAAACATTGTTCTAAAGCAAACATCTATTTGAGCTGTAAAATAATGTTTAAAAGGCAAATGACACTTCAATATTCCTGCAAGGGATCTCAATTCAAATGTTTATTGTATGAAGGCCATAAGCCCACATACATGAAGTGCATACTGTACAGTATAGGATCAATTAAACAAAAGATTAACATTTCATTTTATTATGTTTCTACTCTTGAAGGCATATTTGAAGCATAACACAACAGATTGAACAATCTTGATAGTTTGTTGTTGCCATAAGGAGAACAAACTGTTGTACTGATGGTCAAATTAAACATTTATTTGGTATGTATTTCTTTCGAATGTTCTTTAAGGATGGACATATAGGTGAAATGGTACAGATCTTCGATGTTTAAATTACAATATGTACACACCCTTTCAGACTTTGCAATATTATGATGTCTCCCAGTATCAATATTTAGCCTTGTACATCCAACTCTAGTCTGTCTCACAGTCCCTGAACCACATTATTTTCCCTACTGCCTAGCCCTCTCTGCAGTGCTAAAGCCCTAAATAAAGCAAGTCTAGATTTCCTCAGGTTCAGGATCTCTGGTCTCCCTGGGTCTCCTTTTGAATTTAAATGGGCTTGTTTGTTACTATCAAAATTATATATATTCAGAGACTAAGCATTAGTCTAATCCAACTCGAGCAAGAGCAAAGTCAGTTGCAAATGTACACAAGGTCGAATCTATTACATATTTTTCTGCTTCAAGGCTAATCTTAAAACTTGCATAACATTCATATCTAGTGCTAAATGCTCATATATGTGTACACTCTTGGGTGTACATATCTTTTAATCTGGTCTGAAAAATGCTGAGAAAACTAGCTATACATTCAAATCTTGATACAGCCAGTGAGCTGATCTAACTGTATCAAATGATGCTTTACTTATGCTAAACGTATACAGAACGTTTCTTATTGTAGGATATGTCTTTTCAATGAACGGTGTATGGTAAGAGAAACTTTTGACCAATAAGTCAACAATGACAGTACTACAGAAGAGCAGTAACTAAATCTGGACAGACAACCCAATGGGTGAGAGCATGAGCAAGGATCCACACTGTCAGCTAATAATCCCACTCAACATAGTACCCATTCAATCCACACTTCAACATTGATGGTATGGAGGACCTGTCTCAGACCTCCCACATGGCTGGGGTGACCGAGAGTGGAGAAGAATTGCAAAGCTTCTGGAATAACGTATGTGAAGTTATTTTGCACCTAAATGTAACATCTCCCATTACCAAAAAGCATTCTTTAAAGTTCTGCTAGGATCACAAGATAGGATCTTACAGTATTTGCTGCCATCTGCTTTAGAAGGTGATCTTTCAGAATAAAAAGATCAAACTGAATTATTTTTCAGGCAATCTGGTGCTGAAGTAAATCTTATTCCTTGATTGAATAAGCAGGTCGAACACACAAAACATGGCCAGGCAAGAACACAAACATATGGTGAGACTGTGGACAGCTATAAACATGCTGCTGAGTCAGAATGAAGACTTGCAAAAACCTTCATCTTCAGCCTCAAACTGGATGTAAATTGTCTAAGGTGCCACAAGAAAATGAACTCATTGTGTCACTGTTCCAGATCTGATCAAGCCCTTGTATTATTTAACAATGGTTGATCACAGCATTTTGGTATGTCATAATCAAAGGGAGATAAACTACATGGTGTTTTATTGTCCAATAAATAACTGATTTTCCAAAATTTGGGCACTGACACAATAAAAAAGTCAGGAATTTTGGCACCACTCATAGCACAATTTAAGCAATAACCTAGATGATGTTATTGTTCAGAGAAAGTAATCATTTAAAGTTACTTTTGGAACAGAGCTGTACGCCAAGTGTATATCTGGTAACAAATATAAAATGGCCCCAGGACTATATCAATGTTTTTAACATCAACAAAGTCGATTATGTAAAGGTTGAAATTATCTATTATTTATATTATTATTTTTATCTACTGTTTAGCTTAAACAATCATAGCGAGAATATTTCATTTCAGAACAGTTTTTGGCATAAACAAATATCCCTACATGTGTCAGTTTGATCGGATCCAAGATGCCAGTAAGTGCAAGGTAACAGCAAGTAAACGGCATCAACAAAAGGATCACTGCATTACAGACAACAGGACAACCAGGACAACATCAACAGACCTGACTAGGTCAACAACATCTGAAACTTGGGTCAGTGCCCATATATAACTACTTCATTAGCATACACAAATCTACATATATACATAACACTAACTTAATGATCTTTCTATCACAATAAAATTAGCATGACTGATAAATCTTGACTATGGGACTATCAAAAATGGTCGAGGACCCCACAAGGCAATTACATATATGTATACCTTGTTGTATAGGCCCCTTCAATGGGAGTGTTAGGGGACCTATGACCTACAGGTTAATTACAGGAAGGCCTACTGTCCAGTGATAGGCAACCAAGTGGACGATAACATTGACAAATTCCGGGTCTTCAACCTGGAGAAATTAATCAAGGGTCTACAGCCTATGAAAGTGCCGTTTATCAGCTTGGGCTAGAGATTACAGGCTGGCAGAAGATTCCCTGTCACTCTGCTGGTTTGGAAAACATAATCCATGATGTAGGAGACATTGATATTCTGGAGAGCTATCAAATCTGCAGGAATCCCAGCAAATGGAAGGCAGATGCAGGGCCAGTTAAAGTCTTCCAATTAAAATGCTGAAATTCAGTTAGCTCAAATCAGCTGGGTTAAGAACCCAATTGATTGTTATCATTATCAATTTTCCCAGTATCTAGGATTGGTTTAAATTGATTTGTGTAAAAGATGCTTTTTAGGAAGGCAAGTGAGTGGGTAGTAGGCTTGAATTGGAAGGTAGACAAGGTAGGAAGAAAAAATGGGAGAGAGTGAGCAAGTGAGTTTAGTTTTACATCGCTTTTAGCAATATTCCAGCAATATCATGGTGGGGACACAAGAATGGGCTTCACACATACAATCAAGTCCATCCTACATGAAGACATTCCTCCTTGTGATCACACCATGATGCAGTACTATCTGAGGATACTGTCCCACAACACCAATCACATCCCCTGAGGTGAGTTCTTG